AGCAGCGAAGGCGTTGCGTGTGGATATGTGTTTGGTGGGTTTGGGTTACCTCGACGTAGAGAAGATACAACAGACATACTCCGCCGATCGGCTGCTGCGGTCCCGCGAGGCTGAGTCGATAGAAAAAGTATTAAAAAGAGATAACGGCCAGTTTATTCCTTTTCTGCAGTTTTTATTAATATATAACATTCCTTATTATCTTATAGGGAGAGATCGCCTCGTTGAAATGGGCGCGCTAGGACGAGAGCTGCTCTGGCGACCACTGGAAATATACTCGTTATTTTTCAGTTTAATTTTTAAAAATAAATATAAAAATAAATATAAAAATAAAAATAAAAATAAACTTTCTTATTCTCTCAACCGAGTACTGGCAGAGGATGGCTCGAAGTTCTGTATACTGAAAACGCATCAGCTGCTGCGCGAGTGGTTTCACGAAGGTGCCTATACACCCCAGCAACCTGAACATGTACGGCCTTATACTGCTCTTTTTTTCTCTTTTTCTTCTCTTTTTTCTTCGTATTTATTACATTAAATGCATGGATATTATGTAGTACACACACATATAGATTTTTTTTCTTTTTTATTCTATATACGCAGCAGCAGCAACAGGAGAAAGGTAGAGTGGAGCGGCTGCCGTTTTTCGTTCTGTTGCGTGCATCTGTTTCCCTTTTTTTTTGTATTTTTTCTTTTTCATTTTTTTTCTCTCTTTCTGTTTGCACGAATGCAATATATGCATGCATGCATGCATGTATATATTATATTTTTTTTTTGTTTCCGTTCTATTTTCAGGAGTTCACCGAGAAGACGTTTCTGAACAAATGGGTGATCGGGAGAAACGCGAGCGAATGCGCATTGCGGCATCGAGCGCAGGAGCTGGAGAAAGCTCGGCCGCCGTTGCCGGCGGAGCTGAAACGAAAAAAAAATATAAAAATATTGGTGGTGTGTGACGTGGCGATGCAGCGGCGGCTGGCGGAGCGGCTCAGCAGCGAGCTACCGAGCCTAGCCTCAACAGAACCTCTCTACGACGAAATTATAAAACTACAGGATACCAGCTCCACCCGCTTTCACCTCTGCTTGATGATTTACTTTATTCTGCCCGTCGCCACCCTCGCCCGCATACTCTGGAAACAAGCCAAGAAAGCTTACCTACACTATGCTGTCATCGGTACCGCAC